ATGTAAGTCATCTTTTTTTGCAAAATACTTCTGGGGAGATTTATTTACTGCACTCAGTATCACGCTTCTATGACTGGGCAAAACTCTGCTCTATTAACCAAATATCCCAATAGCTTTTACCCTTTCTGTGCCTCCATACTGAAAGACAGAAATCCCATCTATGGTGTGTTTCCCCAGCCCAATTTGAGAAAACACTCGGCACGATCCTGTAGAGTAGAACCAGATCTAGAACTTTATTAATAATAAAGGAGGAAAGCATGGGTTCAACAAGATTTTGGATCCCACAGCTCTCCCAGAGGTTAGAATGGGAGACATAGGGTTTTATACTCCATACTAGAAATAATGCCCGTTGCAGAAATAAATACAACGAGATCTAGAAAGAGGCTCTGGGAGAGTGCTCTGGCTTTGGGCAAACAGTGTCAGTTTCCTGTGGCGACCTCAGCAGGGTTTAATGACAGAGTCCACTGTTTTCTCCAGAGGGACTGATCTCTGCTACCTGAAGAGCATTTGTATGTTTGAGTTATCTGTAGCCCTCACCTGGAGAGTGGTAACCATTGTTACCCATTCTCCTCTCCCCTATGAGGTATGTTATGCAACTGAAAATCCCAACTGCCTTGCGGGGGGGGGGAGTTTGAGGTGTGGAATGGACTGAAGTCCAATCAGCTTCCATATGCAAAAGACCAGGTTGTCGCAGCAGTTGTGGTGTGGGCGGGACCCGGGCTTTGCCTTCTGATTGGTGGCGATATATGCTGAGGAGCAGTGCCATCAGCCATACACTAAGGGAGTGCATTTTAGAATTAGAACTTTGGCACCCACTATTCAATTATATATAAGGAGAGATGACACTTAAAAATAAATCATAATTATTGGTTCCATCAAACATCAGCACTCTGACCTAACAGGTCTCTGATTGGCAAAAAACCTTTTAGGCTGGGCTTTCCCAAGTAAAGTTTTTTCTTTTAGCTGAACAATAAGTGTTTGTTTCTCTTAGACTGTAAAATTCTAAAAGTATCTATATAGCTGATATGGTTTACAAGGTGCCATTGTTCTTCGTTTAGCGAGAGACATGCGCAGTTATAGCTGGCCTACCAAGGCCATAAGCCTCAGCAAAAATAGCAAGTTAACATTTTGTTCTTTCAGCATTTTACCTTCCCAGCATGCATCCAAACAACAGTCACAAATGAACCAAAGTTAATACCTGAATACATTCATGATGTTAGAATCATAAATGGCACTTAACATATGAACCGTGGAAGTGCTAAGCGCACCCACCAAGTCAAACCTGTTAGTCAGTGGCAGAGTATAAAGTGTTTCATAAACTGTGCGTACAACAAATCTGCCAAGAAAACATCTGTATTATGCTCTAGGACTCGTTGCTTGAAGAACCAACTGCACTGTGTCAGGACTCCAGTAACAGGTAGTTAGTTAGCTTTCTTATTTCTCTGTGCATTTTTACTGTCACTGAACTATATGCCTTGCTTTTAAACCTTTTCCCTAAATTTCTGCAATAAAGCTCTGTTTTGCTTTATTGTGGCTGCGGTCACACACACAAAATAATCCACTTTCAATCCACTTTCACTGCACTTTCCAATTGGATTTTACCGTGTGAACTGGCAAAATCCAGTTGGAAAGTGGATTGAAAGAGGATTATTTTGTGTGTGTGGCCGCAGCCTGTGTGTGTTACTTAGGGAGTTTCTGAGAACAAACTGAGGTGCAGCGTAGTTATGTTACCACACCAAGGCAGGGTCAGCCTCGACAACAGGAAACAGGGCTGGACTAAAGAGCCAAAAGAAATTGAGAGGGGACACTTTTAAAGAAAATATGTGCATAATTTTTACAAGTAGCAAAATTTTACTGCTCTTGAAGTAGAGTTGACTACTTTGTTTTAAGCTCGAAAGTACAACCACCTGAAAAAGTAGAGGCACACTCTCTTAGTAGTGCTCTGTATTCTAAATTTTCAGGACGCCACCCAACTTTTAACTGTGTTTTCTAAGGACTGTATGCTCCTTTTTACACCTGAACAGGCCTTTGGGACTGGCAACTAACTGACACTGCAACAGAGAAGGGCCATAATGTCCTCCCTCACAGCCTTCCCTCAGCATGATCTCCCTCCTCAGTGTAGAGAGACCAGGCCTTTATTAGAAGGCCCCGTGGCCAGATTGGTTCTCTCACTGCTTCTTCCCACTTACTCTGAGGATTTACATATTAGTAAGAGGGAGATAAATCTCTCATTTGTGTCCATCAGTGCTTCTTAGTTCACAAAATGTGAACCAGATTATTCCCTCATCATCCCTTGGGTATACACTAGGAGTGCGGTCAGACGGACTGCTCCGGTTCTAACCGGATTATATTCGATCTGGATAATCGCGATCACACTTACCTTCCTTATCCCGCCTCACCACGTAGTCACGTCGCTCCCTGGCGTCTACACTACTGACGCGCGGGAGCGTGTGTCGGCGGGTTTTTTTATTTCCTCAGTTTGCGCATCCATAGAAGGGAGGAAACTATCATGGCGCATGCGCAGAACCACCAGGGCGAATCAATCCAACCCCTCCAACAAAAGACTTCCTTTTAAATGTTTGACCCGAAATGGCCTCCGTGAGATCCCAAACTCATCTAAACGCTAAAAAAGTGACCGTTTAAATGTCGGTTTTCTAAACGCGGTGGCAGAGCTCCACCTATGCGCACACCACCAATGCATTTAAAAAATGGTGGGCGAAAAACGGAAGCCTCGGGCAGCTTTCAAGCGGGGAGGGGGTTTAAACTGGAAGTGACTCGACACCGCAGGAGCATTCAGACGTCAGAAAAGTGTGGCTAGAGCCAGAGAATCAGGAAAACACCACTTGGGGACCTGGTAACAAAATACTCCGTTTTAAAGGGGGTTTGAGCCGGAAAGCGACAGCTGGGGACGGTGCATAGATGTTGGGTGTGTGAACATGGATATAAAATCCGTTACTGAAGCGTGCCGAAAGCAAACTAAACGGCCCGTCTGAACGCACCCTATAAATGGCTGACAGGAGGAGCAGTTTACTCCTCAGGTGCAGGCCTGGGTGTAGAAACTGAATTGACCAACTCAGAGGGTTTGTGTATTCAAACATTTACTTCTAAAACCCAAATAACTGGTAATTTTAAAACACGCATGCTACATTTAGCGACTGGCATTTTAAGGCAGTGAAGACGAAGACTCAGACCTGTGTCCTGGGGCAGCCACATTCATTTATTAATAAAAACAAAATGGAGAATTGTGTCCCTTTTAAGCTGTTCATCTTTAAGGTGCCACAAGAGCCTGGCTTCTTTCTATGTCTCAGTACGCTGCTTCCCACCACTCGTTTTATATTACGAAAACACACCGGTCTCAGCTTTCTATTTGCTGATATGCACACACCTAACTCCAGAGAGGGGGGCAAGGCCGGATATATGGAGGGTCTTCACAAGCAGGATTGCCAGCTCTGAATTGGGAGGTTCCTGGGGATTTGAGGGTGGACCTTGGAGAGGTTTGGGGAGAGAGGGGAAGATGAAGAAGACGAATAAGCAAGACGAAGGGGAGTTGGTTTTATACCCTACACTACCCAAAGGAGTCTCAGAGCAGCTTACAATCTCCTTCCCTTCTTCTCCCCACAACAGACACCTTGTGAGGTAGGTAGGGCTGAGAGAGCTCTGAGAGAACTTGTGACTGACCCAAGGTCACCCAGCTGACTTCATGTGGAGGAGGAGTGGGGAATCCAACCCAGTTTTCCAGATCAGAGTTCGCTGCTCTTAACCACTACACCAAGCTGGCTTTAATGACACAGAGCCCACCCTCCAAAGCAGGCATTTTCTCCAGGGAAACTGATCTCATCTGGTTTATCTTATGTGGTTTATCTTATGTGCCTAAGACAAAGCGCTTAGCCAGTGTGGCTACATATATGAGAGGGAGCAGCCTGTCAAGCGTGGAACTTTGGTGTCAGAGAGACTGTGTGTGACACCTTGCCAGTTATATTTACAAGTTCCTTTTTCCAGAAACAGTTCAAAATAACCAGCATCTTATTTTGTTCTTTATTCAATAAATCAAATTTGGTTTAAACATATCCCAGAAATCCGTACAATACTTCCTCAGGGCCACATAGTCCTCTGAAGTGCCCAGACCCTGGGTCATACTACCGGAAGAGAGAGAATTGGAATTTTTAATTCCTGGTGGCAGCAGAAAACGTCCAAGTTTATATACACCAAGGGTAGTTTAAAGGAAAAACAGTCTCCCCAAATAGCAAGCATGCCACACTCTGCTTTTATATTTTTTTAAAAATTCTAGTCCTCAGAACATACAGAAATATGCTGGGAAAGTAATGAACAATACCAGCATAAGAAGAAGAGAGAAGAAGAGAATGGATTTATACTCCGCCCTCTATTCGGAGTCTCAGAGCGGCCTACAGTCTCCTTTCCCTTCCCCTTCCCACGACAGACACCCTGTGGGGTAAGCGGGGCTGAGAGAGCTCTCTCGAGGACTGCTCTTGAGAGAACAGCTCTGAAAGAACTTGTGACTGACCCAAGGTCACACCAGTAGCTGCATGTGGAGGAGAAATCAAACCCAGTTCTCTCAGATTAGAGTCCACACACTTAACCACTACACCAAATTGGCCAGAGAGAGTAGCAGAGTAAGACTTCGGAAGGCAGAGGGTAGGATCTCTGTGCCTTATGTAGCTGTTCCCCATCTCAATGGCAAGCGCTAAAATGGTTTTCTGCTTTGGTTCTGACTTTGACTGACTCCCTCACGACAGGTCCCCTTATCCCACTACCAGCCTCCAGGGAGCACTCCCCATGTCTTAAAAACAGAAGATGGGAAGAAATCTAAGAGAAAAGAACTCACGTGTCTCGCTTGCTCTGGGGCCTACCACTGAGGGGCCCAAAAGAGAAGAGGGAAGCTCTCATGACGTCATTTCTCTCTTACATACCACAGCCTCCTACCCAAGCCTTTTCCTCCTTGCTCAGAGGGAGAGGAGCAGTTTCCTTTGCATGCGCCCAAGCATCCCTACCACCACCCCTATTAAGTCCCAGAATGCCATACAGAGGGAGGCAGCAGGAGGGGACAGTCACAGCTCTTCAGCCTGTTCCAGGACCCTCTTGCTGGGCTGAATGGGCTCTGTCCATGCCACTGATGCCACGCCGTGCCCATGGATGTGGTTGTCATGCCCAAGTCCTTCCAAGTCCAGGTGTGCCCCCTCTGAGAAGGACTCCGTGCCGTTCTTCAAGGCCGCCTCGTCTGCCTTGTGAGGCCTGGAGAGCACATGGCTTCTGATGAAACTGCCAAGGGTTTCTTTCTCCTGCCTGCTCTGTCCTTCGTTGGCATATTCAGTCCACAGAGGTTTCTCTGGCTCTTTGGCACGAAGATTGACATCTCTGGCCAGGGAGGAGACAACTCTGGAGGAAGCATCGTTGTGGAGGGACCTGGAAAAAACTGGGGAGGAAGGAGAAACGTACAAGGTGTGGCCAGCATTACCATCAGGCAGGGCCGAGCGTTCACGGGGGTCCGTGAATTGCCCACTTTGTCAACCACCAGCACAAGGGCATTTTCAGTGGTTGCCCCCTTCTCTCTGGAATCAGCTCCCCGGGGGAATTCGTGCCCTGCAAGATCTCCCAGCATCCCTTAGGGCATGTAAGACTGCTTTGTTTCGTGCAGCACAGTTAACATTATGGACTTGGGAGCTGACTGGTCGTTTTTAATCTCTTTGGGTAATTTATTGTTGAGTTGATGTTTCATTGCTCCATTCATTGCATTCATTTATTTATATTGTAACTGTATTTATTGTATTTTAAATGTTGTAAGCCACCCCTGGGGGGAGATGGTGTGGGGTACTTCCCTTTCCATGAAAGGCAATGTATCTGTCCTCTAAAATCGATAGATTCAATCCATCGCATTATCTTGGCTTGTCAATTGCATGCAGGTTCACATAAGAAACTCCTTTCCTCTCCACTATACTCTAAACATTGTGTTAATAATTACAGAATAATCCAGTGTCTGTTAAATGACCCAAATCTGGACATGACAGCTCTGGTTGCCAGGTTTTTGGCTGAAGCGGTTAAAGATAGATACAAGCTTTCTGTATGAGCCCTTTCGGGGGTTGAGCGGTCTAAAAAACAAAAATTAAATAAAAATAAATAAATAAATAAATGATCTGCCTTATTTTGCTGTCTCTGTAACGCCTCTTTGCTCATATTTTATCACACCATGTATATTATTGATATGCCATTAAAGGTATTTGATTTCATTTGATTTGGTGTGGGGTAAAAAGGTAAAGGTCCCCTTGCTCGAAAGCCAGTCGAATCCGACTCTAGGGTTGCGGTGCTCATCTCCGTTTCAAAGCCGAAGAGCCAGCGCTGTCCGAAGACGTTTCCGTGGTCATGTGGCCGGCATGACTAAATACCAAGGTGCACGGAACGCTGTTACCTTCCCACTGAAGTGGTACCTATTTATCTACTTGCAATTTCTTGCTTTCGAACTGCTAGGTTGGCAGGAGCTGGAACTAGAGACGGGAGCTCACTCCATCATGCGGCACCCGGGTCTCGAACTGCTGAACTACCGACCTTTCACAGCCTGCAGGTCAGCGTCTTAACCACTTGAGCCACCGCAGCTCCTTGTGGGGTACAAATTAAATAAATAAATGAGGACTATGGAAGGTCCCACCGCCAACTAGGTTGCCAGCTCTCCCACTGAAAGGCAGCTATGCCCATCAGCACTATTGTTCTCATTGCACACAGGGGAATGGGGATGATGCATTTGATCTCTGGGCTTTTCTGCAGTCTCATTTTCCTTGCTTCTACATTCCTGGTTCTCTGGGGCTGGGTGTGGCTGTTCTGCTCATGTTTTGCTCCCTCTAGTGGTCAATTCAATACCACACCAGTTTATGTCCAGCATAAAAACCTGCAGTTTAAATCTGCAGGGAACTATAAGAACACCAGAAGAGCCCTGCTGGATCAGACCAGTGGTCCATCTAGTCCAGCATCCTGTCTCGTACAGTGGCCAACCAGTTCCTCTGAAGGGCCAGCGACAGGGCATAGAGGCCTGTTGCCTCCTGGCTCTGGGATTCAGAGGGTTTAGTGCCTTTGAATGTAGAGGTTCCCCTCAGTCACCATGGCTAGTAGCCATTGATAGACTTATGATCCATGAATCTATCTAATCCCCCTCTAAAGCGGTTTATTCCTGTGGCCATCACTACATCCTCTGGCAGCGAATCCCACATTTCAATCACTCTCTGTGTAAAGAAGTATTTCCTTTTGTCCATCCTGAACCTCCTGCCCACTGGTTTCATTGAATGCCCCTCGAGTTCTAGTATTTTGGGAGAGGGAGAGAAATTTCTTTGTCAACTCTCTCCACCCCATGCATAATTTTATAAACCCCTGTCATGTTCCCTCCCTTAATTGCCTCTCTTCTCAACGGAGAAGTCCCACAGGCTCTCCAGCCTTTCCTCACAGGGAAGGCGCTCCAACCCCCTCATCATCTTGGTCGCCCTCCTCTCTACTTTTCCCAGCTCTGCGGTGCTCTATTTGAGATCTGGTGACCAGAACTGTACACAGTATTCCAAATGAGGCAGCACCATAGATCTACACAGGGGCATGACAATATCGGCCATTTTGTTCTCAATCCCTTTCCTAATAATCCCTTATATAGAGTTTGCCCTTTTCACCGCTGCAGCACACATGGTTGACACTTCCATTGAGCTATTCACTACGACGCCAAGATCCTTTTCCCTCTCAGACTCAGCAAGTTCAGACCCCATTAGCTGAAGTTGGGATTTTTTGTCCCAGTGTGCATCACCTTACACTAACGAACACGGAACTTCATTTGCCACATTGTCACCCAGTCACCCAGTTTGTCTTGGAGCTCTTCACAATCAACCTTGGTTTTCACCATCCTGAATAGTTTTTTGTCATCTGCAAACTTAGCCACTAGTTCCAGATCACTGATTAATAAATTAAATTGTACCAAGCCCAGTACTGATCCTTGTGGGACCCCAACTGCTTATTTCCCTCCATTGTGAGAACTGTTCATAGATTCCTAGTCTTTGCTTCTTGTCATTTAGCCAGTTTTTAACCCATGAGAGAACCCGTCCTCCTATACCATGACTGCTAAGTTTACTCAGGACCCTGTCAGAAGCCTTTTGAAAGTCCAGGTACACAATGTCTGCCGGGTCACCATTGTCTACATGCTCATTCACTTTCTCAGAGAACTCCAAAGGTTGGTGAGGCAGGACTTCCCTCTGCAGAAGCCATGCTGGTTTCCCCTCAGCAGGCTTTGTCCCTCTATGTGCCTAACAATTCTATCTTTGATTGCAGTTCCTACTAATTTGCCTGGGACAGGCGTAAGGCTGACTGGCCTGTAATTTTCTGGTTCCCCTCTAGATCCCATTCTAAAAATTGGTGTCACATTTGCTACTCTCCAGTCTTCTGGTACAGCGGCTGAATTTAGTGATGGGTCACATATATGGGTTAGTAGGTCAACAATCTCATGTCTCAGTTCCTTAAGAACTCTCGGGTGTACGCCATCAGGACCTGGAGACTTAGCGGTTTTTAATTTTAATATGCTAGACATAAACCTCTGTGATATCGAACCTACCACCAGAGGAAGCAAAACATGTGTGGAACAAACTCTTCCCCCTAAAGGAACGGGAATTTACAAGAGATGAAAATAAGAATTTGGAAAATCTCATTCACTATAACCAATAGTCAGCTCCCCCCCCCCCCCAGTCAGCCACTGGTTTCCAGGGTCCCCAAGGCAATTTCAGGCCTTCTGTAGCCTCTCACTGGCTTCTGCACTCGGCTCTGTGCTCACCTCTCACAGGGATGAAGTCGCCTTCCATCTCGCCTTTGTTGCGGGCAAAAGGGCTGATGGATGGGAAGACAATCAGGGCAAAGGAGAGCAGGAGGACCTGAGAACCAGACCAGAAAGAGAGTGGAGTCAGACGGCTTCCTTCTGGCAAGTTTTTGCTAAGCATATTTTTAAAAAGCTACAATCTTGCACAAGTGTGGCTGGATGACCACACTTCTGGTAACATGGGGGTGTGGGTTAATAGGCTAATGAGCTGCACTGTTGGGGTGTGGCCTAATATGCTAATGAGTTTCTGCGGTTGGGTGTGGCCTATTGTGCTAATGAGTTCCTGTTGGGCTTTTTCTACAGCAGAGTGAGGGTTTGGGGCCAACTGGGAACAGCCTTGTATCGTCGCTGCCCTTTGGTCTACTTCACGCTCCTTCCCAAAGTCAGTCCTAACTGGTCTAACTGGGGGGGGGAGTCAGTTTTAAAACCATCAATAGTCAATTATGGACATAGCAAGCACTTTTAGTCTTTATTAAATTTCCAGGTCGGCTCTACCATTTCACCCCACTAATTATAATGGGCCTCCTGTCCCCCTCCTGATGGAGAGAAAAATTGAGATCGTAGAAAAGTGTGGGGATTTGCTAGCTCTTTATACATCCACAAATCTTATATCAGTTTCTATAATTTCTCTTTAAAATCTCTCTTTAAATTTCTCTTGTTCTTCTCTTAGCAGTTTGGTGGTATTTTTCCCCAGCCGTTACA